TCAAGTTAATTTCAATACCCAAAAAGTGGATAGAAAATTTTTAAAAAATGATTAGTTCAACTGAATAATGACCTTCAAGATTCTCAAAACAATATTTCCCTCAAATTTTAAAAACAGATACAAGTAAACAATGATAGACATGAATTTACCTGGATGATGTACCAATGCCATTTTTCGGTATGATTTTTTAATCTCGTCATCTGAGGCATTCTTGTTGACTCCAAGAATCTTGTAGTAATCTTTCCTCTTTGACCTCTTCAACTGAATCTTGGCTTCATGTAGTAACCGTTTATGTTCTGTGGGGAAAAATTAGTTCCATTCTTAACAATATAAGCTTGGATATATTACTAAATCTCAATTTCTGGATTTTATGTGTATATACATACACACATGTGTACAAGTGAGCAAGTACAGTACCTGTGTATGGCTTACCTTGGCTACGATCTAATTTTGCAACTTTTTCATAATCCCTGACAGCTTCTTCGTGTTTCTCTAATGACTGGTAACACTTGGCACGTCGGAGGTAGGCTTTTATGTAACCTTCATCTAGGTTTATTGCTGCTGTGCAATCCTCGATGGCTTCTTCGAGTTTGTTCAGCTATGAAAGGAAGAATCATCATAAACTTTGATAGTATCTTCAGTTAAGAATATCTTTGATGAATTTTTAAAAATTAATATATCAATTTACTGGAGTATGTATGATTTGTGGAGAGGAGGAGGAGGAGGAGGAAGAGAAAAGAAAAATAATAATAATAAAAAAAGAAACAAGAGGAATGAAGGCGAGGGAAAAAAACTGATAGGCATTCAGAAATATACACTTGGGTAAAAGTATGTATTTCTAACATGTAGAGAGATGACCTTACCTTAGATCCCACTGTGGCACGATTGAAGTACAGCTTGGCATTTGTGTGTTTGTTGAGGGGGTCAATGGCAAGGGCTTCTGTGTAAAGAGTGAAAGCTTCCTGGAAGTTTCCTCTCTTGAAAGCCTCATTGCCCTCTTCTTTTTTCAATTTGAGTTGTTTTGCTTTCTGAAATGAAGGAAATTATATAACAATAATGAATTTGAAAATTCTTATTTCTGAGTCTACAATTTTTCAGTGGATCATTGAATATCAAATAAATATCTTTACTGCCCATATATGAAATGGTAATACAAGTCCTTTGTTTTATAAATAAGAATTTTATAAATAAATTTTATAAATAAGTGTAGCCCCCCCCCAAAAAAAAAAAAAAAAATCCCTAGCTACACCAAAATTGTCTATTGCAATAAAGAGAGCTCTTACCTTATAAATTTCACGAGCCTTTTGATGGTCAGGCGCTAACCGCAGAACATGCTGGAAGTGATTGAAAGCTGCCTCTGCATTGTCCTGGTAGTAAAGACACATTCCTCTAACGTAGATGGCATCAGCATTACCACTATCGTATTGGAGAATCTCACTGGAAATATAAAAAAAGGATAATAATTATCTATTTTCCTCATGGAACTGTTATCAATCAATAATGATACAATAATGAAGAAAATATGTAAATATGTACAATGCCAATAGAAAAATCTAGATTCCTACAAAAATTTTTACTCAAGCCTTGATTACAACTAAAAATAACAAAAAATGAATGGAGTAAGTTACGAACTTGACTATCTCCTGAGCATCGGCATATCGTTGAAGGAACACCAGATATTCTCCTTTTGATCTTAAGGCTTCGACACCCAACTGCTAGATCCAGTGCTCGATCCAAGTGGAAAATGGCCTGCGATTAAAGTTATCGAGTCAATTTCTGTCTTGAAACACATCATATTCATAATCAAAGTGTTTGTTTAAATTCAACAGCATAATTCCTTCTAAATAATGTAAAAAAAAAAATGTATAATAAGCAAAATCGAGAGAGTGATGGACTGAGGTGCAACATGAATATTTGCTAGTCTCATAACACAAGAGTATTTCATATGAAACATCAGATGAAAGGGTATAAGTTACTCCTTTAAGATCACTCTACATTCTAACTTTTCTCTTGACTTTAGTTTCATTCCTCAAATAACCTGGGCAAAAAAAATCTGAGGACTCCAGCTCTTACTCACCGTCCTGTAATCACCCTTTTGTGGTTGCTTTCTCAATTTCATCATTGCAGCGGATAAGGGCCTGAGCATTGTTGATTTCGTCACGGATTGCTTTGTTGTTGGGCTCGAGCTCTCCTGCTGACGCAGCACTGACAGAGCTGCATTAGCATCCCCGAGGGCAATGTTGCATTTTGCGACGCGAACGTATCCCTGTGGATAAAAAGGTGACCTTTTAATTAAAAATGGTATTTAAAACTCCGAAAAAGGAGGAATATTTATTACATAATATATACCTTTTAATTCTGAAAAAAACAACAACAAGAATATAACTTAAAAACACAGCCATTTAACTAGACAAAGAGGCTAAATAAATAAATAAATAAATACATAAATACATAAATACATGAATAACTAAAAATAAAACAACAATTCTAACTGGATTCA